GCTTTCTATCGACAAACACTACCCAAATTCATACTAAGACTCATAAAACATAAGAGAAAACTGTACAGACTATATACATACACTCAAAATACCTAAAAAAGACACTGAACCAACTCAACAGAAACATTAAAACTTTGATTGGACAATACCGACAAGACAAATGGCTAGAAACATGTAAAGAAATACAAAAAGACAAAGGCAAAAGATACTGGCGAAAAATTAAGAAACTAGCGCAATACAAAAAAAACYAAYACWGCTGWCACAATTGACGAAAACGGAATAGAACGTTCCACAGACAAAGAGAAAGCTGACGCGTTCGCCAGACACTATCAAAAGGCCTTCAGCATATCGACAAYGACAACTGGAACTTGAYCAACGACTGGTACTTGAACTATTTTAACAGCTCACCAAACTATRCCTACAAACTGATTACAGACACAGAGTACGATGMAGCCCTAGCGCATATCAAAAACACAGCACCGRGAAATGATAAAATAAAKGTAAAACTCTTGAAAAGGCTAACTCMAGAAACACACAAACTGATCCTAACTGAATTGAACAACWGCATCACAAATAACAAAATTCCAAAAACATGAAAAAACGGCTTAATAATCCATATACCCAAAAATGGATTTGGCCAATATACAACCGAAAAATTACAGACCAATTAAATTACTCCCAGTACTTTTGTAAATCAGTACTTTGTAAAACTTTTGTACTGGTCAATTTTAGAGTATATAATAAAACAGCGACTAGGAAAACTTGTCGGAAAGTACATACCATCGTATCAGTTCGGCTTCAAACATCAACACTCGACTATTCACCCATTCTTCACTCTGACTAACAATATACAAACAATCTACCTGACAGAAAGACAGCTTGCCTGTTTATGCACATTAACAAAGCTTTTGATAGTGTCTGGCATAAAGGCTTACTATACAAACTATACAAACTTCACACACTAACATATATAATACACACCATAAAGAACTTCCTAGAAAACAGACAACTACAAGTACGAATTGACAAAACACAGTCATTTTTTTCCCCTTGAGCAAGGTCCCTCAAGAATCTCCGCTCTCACCGTTTCTCTACAATATATACTGCTATAACATATACAATTACAACTTACCAGACAAAAATTAAATCGACAGATCGGCATACATTTTACAATACGCAGACGACACGGCACTTACTGTACAGGACGAAACTACTGAGAAAGCAGCTCAAAGACTCCAAACACTAACAAACAACACAATGACATGGTTTTATAAATGGAGACTAACGCCAAACGCTTCAAAAAACCAACTTCTGCACACAAACCACAGACTCAACGCTGACTCCCCTACAATAACTGCAGACGGCCAAACGACACAACCAAAAAACATGATAAACATCGTTACTGTTTTGTATAACAACAATGTAATAATATATAATAAATACGTTTTGAATTTAATTGAAAAAATATTTTAGTTTACCTCGGTTATTTCAGAAAACATGGGTTCCGTTTTCTTATTTTCTACCACGCAACGTATTCTTGATGTTAAGACGATACGAACGAATTTATTAGGGCTTATTTTAAATTCTCTATATTACTTCTATGATTAATTGTGTTTACCACGCATCAAAATGAATTTTTTCCTTTCATATACCCTTTGATTCCTTTATGATTAAATCTTCTCAATTTAGTTTATTTTTTTTAGCCTTGGATTAGTTCAGATAGAACTTTTTTTTGACCATACGCGCGATGTGTTACACTATGTATGTATACATATAGTGTGTCAAGT